CAGTTTATTTATATATATATATATATATATATATATATATATATATATTTATTTATATATTTATATTTATATATCGTCTCGTTCCCTATCTAATATGGCTCCTGAGTACTTTTTGAAAAACATATATAAAAACAAAATAATGAACAACACTTCTGTTAGTTTTGTTTCACCCTTCCAGTCAGTCTTTCTACAAATAATGGCACCGCTGTATATGGCAATATGGCAAATTTTGTTACAAAATATGGCTGATGTAGGCTATCACATAATTGGAACAGATATTTCCCACTTAGATTTTTAATTAAGTAATCATATTTAAGCTATTTATTACAAGATAACACTAATTTGAATAGCCTAAACACGTTATATACTGTTACTATACTTTATACTTCTAGTTTTATGTTTTGTAGTTGTATATCTAATAGTTAAATGCAGAAGGGTGATCTACTCCCATACCTTTGATGAGGGGTAAACTCTACAGGCACAAACCTCACACTGTCACCTCATTTTTACTCCCTGTCCTGATCCCCTGACTCCCTCCTCCACTTCCTCCTGATCCCCCACCACCCCCTCCCGGTATGAAATGTAGCTGCTCAATGGTGTTCTGCCTTTTCGCTGCAAAAGCCATCCTCCTGGCGCTGTGGCCCCCTAGTGTTCCCGTTCCCATGACTACCCCAGCCCCAGGCATCTCCCCCGCCCAGCCCATGCCCCCACTCATGTGCCCCGTCATGCCCGTGCTCCTCTCCTGCTCTCGTCCGGATGTGGGGTGAGAGTTCATCTTGATCATGTGGTGGCGGTCGAGGGACGGCGTGGCGCAGACGTTCTGCTGGGACTGGGCCTTCTGCTGGCGAGGCAGCGTGGGGACAATCCCTCCTGTGTGGGCGTACGGATCTACAACCCCCATCCCACCGACCCCCATTCTCTCCTCCAAATGGTCTGGGGACATGAGCAGCCGTTCTTGTTGTCTCTCCTCTCTCCTGTCCTGCGGCTTCCTGGTGAGGGTCTGCGTGTTGGAGTTCTTATTGGAGGCAGCCATGGCTTTGTAGTACTGGTGTTGCTGGTTCTTGGACAGCCTGGACAGAGTCCCCGTGTTGCCAGGGACATCACCCATGTTGAGCAGCTGGTCAGTGGACTTAACTTTCCTCGGGGGCTTGGAGAGAGTGTCGTAATTGGGGTTGTACTGTGGCTCCGGGGGATCCAGAGGGTAAGGATTGGGGGTGGGTGAGGCAGGCATGCCAGAAGGCGGCGGCGGGATCCAGGGACGGACTGCGTGCCTGGGGAGGGTTCCTCTCCCACTGAGGGTGTAGTCTCCACCCCAGTGTAGGTGGTGCTGAGAGGACTGGAGGGCCGGCTGGGCGGTGTGAGGCCGGCGCTTGGTGGTGCAGTAACCAGACGAGTACTCATCGAGACCTTTCTCTGGAAGCCAAACAAAATTTCTCTGAATTGTTTATCACCACAGTAAATAGCATCAGCACATAATGACGCATCCTGCTCTTTATGCCATAGTGTCAAGAGTGTCACCGTGCTTCAGTACTGAAAAATGAAATAAAACAGCTGCAGAAACAGCATTGTAAGGGGAGTGAGGGGCAGACAGACTGAAACATTTGTCCTTATTTCACGAAAATGAAGGTACTTACCGAGGCGTTTGAGTGAGGAGTATCTGTTGAGCTCAGGCTTGGTGGCACTCTCATAGGAGGGCGGCAGCTGAGCCAGGTTGTGCAGGGAGTGGTGGAAGGCAGGCTGGGATTTGGTGTTGTTGTGTTTACTGGAGAGCAGGGTGCCTCCAGCTGCCAGCTGAGCATTGTTCATTCGAGGGGTGCGTTCTGCAGAGACCACAGGGAGAAAACAACTGCGTGTTAAATGAGATTTGCTCCTCTGGATATAGCGCACTGCACGCAGAAGGGTGTGAATTTGCTAACATTCACTGGAACAGACAGATTTTAACGTGCTTTCAACACCAAAACAAGCAACCGAAGCAATGATGAATTAGTCTACTTTTGAGCTTAAATAAAAAGTAAATGAAGCATTGTGGTGATTACATGTAATTTACATAGGAGGCCGGCTTTCACCAGCTGCCTTACCAATAGTTGCGGTGTGTTTGGGGCTGGAGCCTGATGAGTGGATGAAATTGTGTTGCAAATTGCCCACTGTAAGTCAAAAGAACATAAGGTAATCAGCACAAAATGGATGTCAGGCAGTTTCCAGTTCAATGGTGCTTTAGCGTAAAAAGATCAGGGCAACTATAGAGATTTAAGTAGCTGCATTAGTTAACCTTAACATCATTTCACATGCACAGAGCTTTTCAACATCACCATGTAAAGCATACATATTCTAAAAGCACTAATCTCCGGATTCCTGTACATTTAACTACTTGAATGTTGAAGTGGAGGCCTAATATTATCACACAAAGAAGACAGAGGTATGTTTTCTCAGTGACCACAGCCGGTACAGAGAAATGATCAAGATTTAATTTTTTTTGCACACCACCATTGAGGATTCAGTTGTTGTTTTGTTTTTGTTTTTTCAATAACCATTAACATCGTATCTTGGTGGTGGAACAGATACAGACGTGACAAACACGATGTGCCTCGGCATACAGAGGATGCATTTACAAAAGCTCTAAATGTGCCTCTGAGTGTGCTATTCATTAAAGCTGCAAAAAGAGACCCTCACATCTGTTGTCCTTGCTGGGCAGTCCTGGGGCATAAAGATTTTTCGGAGCTCTCCCCAGTGTCCCCTGTCCGTCCCCTACAGCCAGAGCCACGCTGTTGTTTCTCTCATCCTGCTGGACCGGGCTCGACTGGTGCCGCAACATGTCAACCAGGGCTCTGATGATATCGTAAACACAAGCAAAAAGGAAACACAAGATAAAATAGGTAATAAAATACTGGCTATATGACTGACTATCATATGACAGCAAATTCATATTGATGAAACACGTCTAACACTGTGAACTTAAGTCACGTTTTAGGTCTAGCACTTTTGTAACAAGGGTTTATTCATATTTGTCATTATAAATATTGTTCACATGGTATATTATTTCGTACAGTGGAGTGATTCATATTGATAAGCAACAGATCAACCATATCCATGCGAGGATGAAGGCTCATCTAATGTGACAACAATTAATTAAACATCCATTTTATAATTTCCAAAAATATACTGTATTTCAGTTGTGTAGGAATCAGCCACCTGTCAATGGTTTGGATATAAATTTGTGCACAATGATGATAAACAATACACTATATATAATTTGCATTCTTTAAGGGATCAACCAGTGTTCAATATCAGTCTGCAACCATCATCCTCCACTACTGTAGTCCAAGAGCGAACAATGTGAGCTGTACAATAATCGAAATGCAAATCTTTATGCCAAGATTACGGGCCATATATGAGATAAAAAGCCCAGAGGAATCAAAACAACCATGATTTCTGCAGCAGCCACTCCATGAAGATCAAATATGTTTCAACTGATGACTAACAACATTATTCTGAGCCCAGAATGATGAATCTGGGCCATTTATGGAGTCCTGAAAACCTAATTTCATACATACAGTATTCATACATGGAATGAAATAACAAATCCAGCTGTGAGAGATGATAAAAGAAAAAAGAAAAATTTCAAAGCCTCACCTGGGCATGTTGAGGTCCCTTTGGTTGGCTTCCTGTTGCACCTTGTTGAAGACCACCTTGATGCCCACAGCGACAGCCACCATGAACACAATAACTCCTCCAATGACGAAGCCCGTGTTGTGGCTCTGCTGCTTCAGTGGATCAAAGTCTGGGTCTGGGTCACCTAATTCCTCTGTTGTGATCATAGAGTCAGTCTGTGGCTTGGCCCAGTGTGGAGAGTCATAGTTTTTACAGCTGTCCTGCTCCAATTGCCGACTTCGCTCTGGACAACAGAAGCGGTAGTGGCAGGTTCCACAGCAAAAGACGAAGGTGTCCTTGGAGCAGTTGAAAGCGCTGTCAAAGTGTCCCATTACGTCATAATAACCCCGACATACATCCATCCAAGCATCCATCAGGCGGGGTGGAATGGGCGCTACCTGGGCAGCGCCTAAGGGAGGTGCAAGGGCTTCCGCTGACGTCACATTCTTGGGGAACATGACCTGGGGAAGGGGTTTCGGAGGCACTTCCAGAACTCCCTCTGAGGTTTCTGGAAGTTTCTCAGGGGTTTTGGTCCTGCCCTGGAGAGCAGCTGGCCTGATATTGGCCTGCATGGCAAGGAGCAGGAGAGAGGGGCTGGGGCCTGTCTTGGGCTGCTCGGTGAACGGCCTCCCTGAGAGGTCTGTGTGTTGAGGAGGGGGGGAGGGAGAGGTCTCCACAACAGTGGTAAGTGGGGCAGTAAGGAGGGAGAGAAGGGAGACAGCGAGGACTCTGAGATTGGTGGTGGGCGTCATTTTTACATGACTAAGAGATCTATTTTCTGTTGTTGAGTCAATGCAGTTGCAACACTGTATCCGCTTTTGCAGTTTAACCCACTAAAATGGCATGTGAAATATTCAAGTAGCATGTACAACCTACTGGATATTGATGATGTATCAGTAGTTTCATTCAGTAGAAACTGAGTATTTATATGGTGTAATAATCGAAAAAGTCAGGAACAATACAAATGAAAAGGACCAACACTATTAAAATCAGTTGGTAGGTTTCAATAATTGTTGATAATGGTGTTAAAATGGTTTTAATTTACTGCTAGAAAGAAACTCTGAATGCGTAATGACTTCATCTTTTGCCCTCCAAAGACACCTCTTAAGTCTAGAACACTAAAATGGATGCATCTTTGTAAAAAGGACAAATTGAAAACAACAATCTTCATGCTTTTAGTCCTAAATGCCTTGTTCTACATGTGCCACTGAACAAAAGAACAAATATCTGACGTACTGCTGGATGGAATAATTTTTCTGTAACCACAAAGGCCAGTAAAAATTTGTAGCACGTATTTTCAATAAAATATGGCAGTCCCATACATTCCTGTGCTGATCGTGGCACTTGAACAATAGTCTATGGCCCGTATTCTGTCAGATGTAAACAATCTGTTTTGTTCATTCCTGGATGACTATTTCAGCCTGGCACTACATATATTAAGAACTGGCACTTATTTAAGCTGTAAGCAATTCTTTTCTGGAAAAAATTATGAAATCTATAATTCTTTTCATATATTTGGTGTTTTTTGGCATTGTAAACAATTAAATTGTATTAACTGACTGCACCACTGATGAAAACCGCCTATTAATAATGCCTAGTTTCTCTGGAGCAGGGACTTATCTCCATGTTAACTTGTTTTAGGCACTCATCACATCTATAGACACACCACGTACTTTATCTCAATCTTTCTATGGTGGGATTAATGTGCATCAGTACTTGCCTGGCACGGACTGTTACTGTGATTTGGCCGGGGGTGATAATGAGGGAGGCTCAGCTTAAGTGCTAAAAGACTGTAACATCTGAAAATTAGGAGTAAGCATAAACCAAGGAAATGACTCCCAGCCTGTAAAACACATTGCAAAATGAGGCAAACGTCACAGAATTGAAACGTTCTGTATTCAGCTTTTAGGCACAAAAAGTCGCCTGTGTCATTCAACTGTATCACTAATTAGACATGAACTGAATGGCGCATTGCTTGTGTGACATGTCTCTCCAAGTAAAATTATTCCTGATTTGTCTCAGAAGGTTCAAAGAATATCACTTTTGTTGAGAAATATGTAAATGTGTGAAGTTATTGTGTTGGAGGTGTTGGCAATAATAGACAGAAGCAGATCTGTCTCCCACAGAAATTATAATTATATGTAATTATCAAAAACGTCCCTATCTGTAGCAGAGAATGTAGGCACAGATGGGGGAGACAGAATGCTGAAATCACCGAGGGCTCCACTTGTTTCAGTTACATGCTCCTCTGACCTTCTGAGGAGAGTTCAGCAGAGGAAAAATGAGAGACACAAAGCAGCAGTTCTCCCACTGACTAATGTTCCAAAAGAGCGCTCTCTCTCTTCCTCTCTCCAGGAGAATTTCTCCTCTGTCGCCTCTGAATGTTGATTGAATATTGATTTCCAGAATTGTCTTTGGGGTTTACACGTTGACAATCGAACCTGGAAGGTGTCGGGCCGAGCGTCCACTGCAATACAAACGAGAGACATGATCAGAAAGAAGCTCTGCGACCTCTTCTCCTCACTTATTGACACTCGTGCGTGCACATTTTGAGTGCGCACAATACAATCATTTTTATTAATTGCTTTATGTGTGTGTGTGTGTGTGTGAATTCCGAGAGGCCGAGTGTGTGTGTGTGTTAGCGTGCCTGTTTGGTTGCAGGAGGAACACGCTCCTGAAAAGCCAATGATAGAGAAAGAGAGCACAGGGATAAATGCAGGGTAGGGATTTAAATGAGCAAAGAGATTGTGGCGAGCGGGAAGAGCCAGAGGTATAGATGCAGAGACGACCATGAGTGGGAGGGCGGTGTGTGGGTGGCACAGAATCAAGTACATTTCTCCCAGCACTTACCAATACAACATAGCACATCACACAAACAGCACCACCAAACAGATCTGCAAATACAGTCAATGCCACACACAAGAGGAGTGCTAATCAAGACTGTAAATCAGCTGCTGTTAGAGCAGTTAAAGGGGTACAATCTGAAACTGTAAAGAGGCTTTGTGTGTGTGTGTGTGTGTTTGTGTTTGTGTGTGTGTGTCTGCATGTGAGAGACTATAGTAGACATTCTGTAAACCTCCTTGTAGTCTTTCTCTCTCCTTTTATTCCTCTTGCTCCCTCCTTCTCCTCTTTCTCCCTCGTTCTGCCTTTCTCTCTTTCTCAGATTCTGTGCGTGGGTTGAGGCAGCTAACTCTCTCAGAATAGCACTGCAGCTCTGTCTGTGTGTGAGTGAAAGAGGCAGTGAAAGAGAAGGGAGGCAGAATCCAATCTACACCCATTAACCAAACCAGATTTCAAAGTCACATCTGCCCGTCCCTTGCTCGACAAGATGACACTGATGCCTTTGCATTGCATCTGCGAGCGCTGCTCAACTTCCATTACCATATTTTCTGCTCTGACTCCATTCACTTCACGGGGACTCTGTGGTCAGATATCCAAACCACTCCCAGATAAATGTGCAAATGCAGCTTTCTAACAATGCACAAGATTTTAAATTCTAATTATTCCAGATATTAATTCAAAATACGGAATGTCAGTCGTCCTGCAGTCTTAAACCTTGTAGTCTGATGCATATCTTGCCAGCAAAGTGACTCAACGTACAAAAGAACCAAATGTTTTCCTGTTGGTATCTCTATACTGTGCTGCTGAAGCATTGCAGTAAAGAGAGCGAGGATGGGAACCAAAGGGTGAAGGGCACACATTCAGAACTGTAAAGATGCATCCATGAGTTACATGGCCACTGGAGGGAGAACAAACCATTTCCACAGATTCCTGGCACTGCAATCAATTGTATCTAAAGGCAAATGAACCAAACGGCGCCCTTACTTTCATTGCAAGATGCTGACCAGCTGTGCAGACGGCTGGGCATGCAACAATTTCAACAGGTGTTTGTTGGAAATGAAACAAAATGGCTTCTTTTTTTTCTTCTTCTTCTTCTTTACAATCGCTGTTGCAAAGCGCGCTGTGATGTGAATCAATGAGAGGAGGGGGGAAAACATCCTAAATAGAAGTCATGTTGACGCAAAAGACAATAAATGACAGTGAAAGACGCGCAGCAGCGGTTTGCTTTGAGTCTTATCAGTAAAAATATATGCTGCGCAATGACTCCGCATCAGCCGAGTGGTTTTAAAACATCGACTCCTCAGACTAAAAGCCACCCTTCATTAGGTTAATAAGTTGCAACTTGCAGTGAACAGGCATGAGGGTTATGGACATGACTTGCATGTATCAGTAGGCTAAAAAGTGCGTGGGTGTATCCGTGCCGGTGTGTGTTTGTGTGTGTATGTGTGTGTAGTCCGGCTGGATGCGTGTGTTATCAGTGGTCTTAATATCAATATGTCCATAATGTCGCAATGTGCTGGCAGTTGTCGATTAAAGTGTTTAAGTGATGAAAAACATGTCTGCCCAGCATAAAGCCTGTGTGGATGTTTTCTGTGGCGCAGCTTTCATCCAAATGTTTTGTTTGACAGCCTCCAGCACAGCTGATGCGTCTAAACAAGATGCCCAAACTCGTTTTCCATACAGACAGAAAACACACACAATGTAGGTACCACACAGTTTCACCCGCAATTCGGTAATTGATGTTGCATTTCTAAAAGGTGCATAATGTCGTGTCTTACCTGTGCGTTGCTCTGGGGTTTTGATGCTGGAGAACAGCGCTGGGAGAGCCTGCGCACTGTATCTCAGCGTTTCTCAGATGGCAGCCTGTTATTGTAGCAGAGGATGATCAGGACAGCGCGAACTGTTGCCGGATCTGCCACCTGTTTTTTTCCTTCTTTCTTTTTTTGCCCCCCTTTTTCTTTAAATGCCCGTGTTTTTTTTTCTACAAGTGCTGCAGATCTCAATCGGTCTCCATCCGGCTATTGTTAATCCATTATCGCGGCAGAAAGAGAGAGAGAAAAAAAACGCGAGCAGGAGAGAGAGAGAGAGAGAGAGAGAGAGAGACAGGGAGAGAGAGAGAGAGAGAATCAGTGCCCAACGAGATGTTCTGAGATTTTCAGATACATGTGACAAAGGCAATTTAACTATGCACTAGTTACAGTTACAGTGCGGTTAACTATCCAGGAGAACACGCAGTAATTCAGGTGTCAGACGCTTGAAAATGCTCGCCAGAAGATTTCCGCTCAATTTAACTTTTTTTTTTTTTCTCTCTCCTCTCTCCATCTAGAACTGACTGAGGCTGGTTCCCTTCATAATTTCCAAGCGAGATGGTTTACACCGCCTCACTGCGACTGGCCTCACGGAGGTCCGCCAGAGGGGGAGCGCTGTGATTGGTCGGTCAGACTGGTGCTGATGAGACTCTCAACTCCGCGCTGCTGGTCAATAGGCCCATTCAACTGGTGGCGATCATCTGTATTCCCCTCTCCCCTCTCCCCCCCTCCTCCATTTCACTTCACTCTTTAATTGAATGACCCTCACGAACTATATTTTCCTGGCAAAAGTACACATACATCAGTCAGGACATGCTCTTTCAAAAGAAGTCAAACGGAGGGCTGGGAGAAAGCCACAAAAGGGGTGTGTGTGTTTGTGTTTTTTTGTGTGTGTGTGTGTGTGTGTGGTGTGTGGTGGTGTGGTGTTGTGTGTGTCTGGTGTGTGGTTAAAAACAACTTTACAAAATTAAATCAGCCGTAAATTCAGCGAAGAACTCCGAGCATCCAAAAGCTGTGCTAAGGTTGTGTGTGTGTGTGTGTGTGAGTGAGGGAGAGAGGAAAAAGAGAGACACGGTTGCCACAGCAACTGTGTCATTATGTTGGTGGCAATTATGAAAGCGATGAAAACGGGGAAGGGGAGAGGATTGGCGCAAAAAAGCTCCAACACTGGAGCGTGAACGAAACTGTCAATTAGACCCGGACCTGCAGCGGTAATTCAGAGGGGTTTTCTTTAAGTTGAGGACGAGCAGGGGGGAGGACAGTCGAGGCAAAGCGAGAAAGAGAGTGAAGGAGGAGAGAGGCAGAATGAGGTTTGTAAGAGAAGGAAGTTGGATCTTGTTTTGGCTTCATTCCACAGTCACGTACAGTTAAAGTGCCTCCTCACGATCCTCAGACCAACGTGCACATGAATGAAACCGGATTCACTTTGTTTTTTTCAGTCAATTTTAAACCTGTCTGGAATCTGTGATCAGACCTAAAGGATGAATCATAATTAACACCGCTGCACTCTGTGTGACACACTCCCTTTACACCTGACCCACATCAGACCAGACTCATTTTATTCAACCAAAGAAATGTCAAAGTTGGCTTTTCAGCTGTCTTTCTGTAGCAAATAAATAATAATAATAATAAAAAAAAAATGGGGGAGGAAATGCCATAAAGGTGGACTGCAGGTGGGAAAGGAGGTAAGCTCTTTCAGAAATGGGGGCTTGGGGAAGGTGTAAAGGGTTACGTGGAGCCCCAGGTGTCTAAGACGGGCCTGATAATTACCTGTATGGCAGGCTGCTATTTCTACACAGGTGGGTGGGCTGCTGCATGTCTGTAGCAGAGGCTAGTGCAGCCCTTCATTAGATGCTCCAATGACGCTGTACCGTGTGCACTTTCACTCACTGGTTTGCTGGGGTGGATGCAATTACTGATTTCCTCATAATGGTTATTCCATCACTGCAGAACAGGAGACCACTATAAACAAAATGAAGTGCACAGTAAAAGCCTCAGCCGAGTATCCACTAATACACCTATAATAAACAGTTACGCATGCAAAACACCAGATAAAGAAAAAAACAAAAAAAGCAAATATGAGTCATTTTTCATTTCACTTCTTGTATTTCAATGTTTTATTAATTTAAATAATTTAAAATGGACATAAAATATCCAGCCAACAGTCTGCACATTGACAGGAGTTTCAGGGGCACCTTTTCCATCCAAATTAACACAGTGCTTCAGTGTGTTTCCTTGGGAAATGTAGGCCCCGCATGCATTTAGAACAGAGAGAAAACCTGCCCACGAAACCCCGCCAGTGCAACGGGTCAGGAGACAAATTCTATCAAACGTGAACGTTTCCTACAGATGTCTTCTCAGGTACCCACATGGCTGGTCGGACAGCTGGGTATTTGAGAGCACAAACTGCTTTGTAGGGAAACAGGGGTAGTTTCAACGAGTCACACCACTGTATGGTTAATACAGAGAATAAATGATTCATTTGTTTTTTATTTATAAAGTAGTCTGGCAGCCTACCCTGTTCCCTTTAAGCCACTGATCTAGGTCTTCACACACAACCACAAGACAGCTGAATATGGACATGTCAATTATAAACAACTTTTGAAAATACTGGACAGTGAAACAATTTTAGAAAAACTTAAAAAGGGGCTGAGATTCCATGAAAAACAAAACAGATCTTTTATCCAAATGCTAACTCTTTCCATACCTTTACTTGATCCAGCTCATAATACGAAAAATACAATTTAAAAAGATGTTACCATTTTGCGTGATCGTTGACAACATTTCTCTCCCAATAGTGAACCCACCAACTCCTTGCATAATTGTTCAGCGACTTCTACCACTATTTCCTTTAAGCTCAATTTGAATACCTGACTTTAATGAAAGGAACATCCTGGTTTAGACTCATGAGTGAGCCCGGCTGAGCAGTACACAGTACCATCACAGCGGCATTTACCAAGAAACACTTTAAAAAGAGTTGATATCAAGTCTGAGACAATAGTGGTTATGTCTCATTACTGGACAGAAATTAGAGGCCATATTTTGCACAGTGAAACCCATTCCCTGTATTATTCATTCATGCTAGGCCGAAGGCAAAATACAACACATAGCATGGTTTCCACATTGAAGGTGTTGTCTTTCCTTTAAAAAGAGGAACAGATATATTTTTCATCGTGTCTGTAGGTATGGAATTAATTAACAAACCTGTAATGCCAACAGGACAAAGTGGTGGCAAGACAGAAGGTAGGGTATGAGTACAAAGTGGACAGTCTGGATAGGTGGTAGAAAGAGTCAAAAAAAAAAAAAAGGGAACAAAAACATCATCAGCACACTTCAATATTTATATTTACACTCTCTCGCGCTCTCACACACACACACACACACACACACTGAGAATTTCGCTGAGGTATTAAAGTCGCCTCAATGCACGCTTTTTGTCTGCTTTCTTTTTCCCTGCTACATTATTAGTGCTACTACTACTGTTGCTATTGCTGGTGGTGGTACTGGCTCCGTTAGCTCCATTACCCAGAGCTGCTGGCACAGCTGCCGCACTGGGTCCTGCTCTCTTTGTGGGGTCACCTGCGTGCTTCTTCGGCTGTGGGCCGTCATTAGGGTCCTGAGGTGCCCCCGAGGTCCCGCCGGGCCCGCCCATGGCGTGGATCTCTGTGAGCAGACGAGCTCGGGACTCATATTCTGCATAGTCCTCTAACAGCAAGCGCCCGGCCTCTTCGTTCAGAGCCGACTCTGGATTCGGATGGATGAGAAGACACTTGATCGTCTGTGGGGAAATGAGGGAGATGGAAATGTAAAAAGAGTGGAGGCAACACAGCTGACACTCCAAACATCAAAGACTGATGGTCCCTCTTACAAGTAAGACATGTCGGAGGCCGAGTTCTGCCTTCCAGTCCCTCTTCAACACGTTGACACAGATCTCTCCCTTGTGACCCACGTTGGGGTGAAAAATCTTGGTCAGGAAATACCCCTTGGGTGGAACCGCAGGGAAGTCCTTCCCGAGGACCAGGCGCATTCGGAAAACGCCACCAGCAAATGGAGTTCCCTCTGTCAAAGCATAAAGAATTAATCTCATGAACAGTATGTCCTAACTGTGCCAAACTCGCCCCATAAAAAGAAAGAGGGTCATAGAGCGGCAACTGAGTCAACTAACAAAAACACAGAAAATGTTACATCCAAGTCAGCCGCCGATCAGCTAGTTCAAACTCCGTGTCTTCATCATAACCAGTTTGAGTTATGAAGAAAAACTGTCACACACACGAATGAATATGATCTAATGAAATCTAATGAAAATGACGACTGAAGGAAGCATTATGTGAGTTTTGGATGCTGTTTGTTAGCTAATATCTCATAAAAAATCTGATATAAACAGTATGAGCACCTAATAAATCAAACAAAGTTGCTCTGGCTCTTCAAGGACTACTTTACAATAACGAGCTCTGAGCTCACAGTGACACGATAGCATGGACATTGTTGGCTGTGTGGCTGAAGTGGGTGATCTGTCTCACATGTAATTAAAAAACCATCTACAAAATCCAGAAATATATCCTTTACACAATAATGTACATTTTTAAAGAGCCATGGAGAAGAATCGTTTCCACTTTGTAAAACAGATGCATTGATGTACATCTTAAGGAGTCGTTTGCCTGATGAGTAAATTATGCAAAAAAAAAAAAAAAGTAGTTCACTGAGGCTGGTGGCGGAGCTTACTGTTTAACCGTGGATAGTTAACCACCGACTGCCTTCACATAGTGGAGCAGACAACTGTGACATCTTAGTCATCATAAGCCAGAGAGGTAAACAGAGGCAAGAGCTGTTATTACCTTAAGGTGATGATAAAAGGTTGGTCATCAGGTGAAACCTCTTTTCACTGGCAAATAGTTATCAAGCTGTTTTACTGAATGTGTAGTGGTCGGACGGCTGACACACTGTAGGATGCAGGATGACGCGTAAAACTGGCATCTTAAAAGCCAAAGAGGTCATAGGAAATTGTAAAAGTAGTTACCTGAGAGTGGATGTGATAAATGTATTACATACAGCTGATTCTAGCTTTTTTAAATTCACATTTAAAGTGTGTGGTCTACTAGAATAATGTGATTGTTACCTGTTGTTTAAATAGCAATTTAACCAGGGTTTTATGGAGAAGTGAGACAGTATATAATGCTGAGAAAACTGTCTCGTGGATAAACAGAAACAGATCTCTGTACTGAATATACTGTTACGACTATTAACAGCATATTCAGCATCGTGCAACCATTTCTTACTTTAACTTACACACAGCGAGGTGCAGACCGCTGAGAGCATCAGTGGAAAAAAAATCTAAATTAGCTGTGTGACATGTTTTAATTTTGAAGCGTCTCATCATGACCAAATACGACACCATATTTTAATCCTTACCCGGTCCTTCAATGGACGTGTGCAGTTCAGTAATGTCTTCTTCACTTGGGTAAATCTTGATCCCCTCAGGTGGGTCTGCTGCTAAAGCTGAAACCTCTTTGTAGACCAAGCGAAGAACATGAGGAGGCAAATTCTCCACATTGGAGTTCTGTGACGGAGACAGAAAGACGGTTTCATCGATTTGGGTCGCACATATGTACAAACACAGGCCTGCTGCGAAGGGGGAACCTCAGTCAGGTGTATTATGACCATGTGGAGTGAAACGGTCATGCTGTTTTAACTTACTGACTGAAGGAAGGACAGGAAGTTCACCTTGTTATGTCTGTAAACTGTATCTTATATACTGATAACGGCTTAAATAGACTTTTTTTTAAATGCTAATATTTCACCAGCATATCACCTTAATACCAAAAACATATACAATGCAAGCAAGTATTGTGGTTGTCCTTTCTTAGCATGTGCAACCCGTTTTGCACTTTTTCTACAGAGAAGATACCAGATTTACAAACACTAGTATCTGTTTAAATAAAGCTGTATTAATGCATGTAGTCATTGGCTGCGATCCTAATTGGGATGCACTGCACGCTTTAGCTAATATCAATACATTGTGTGAACATTAAAACAAACCAACGCTACGTTTGTTTTTGATGAAGAACACACACAACTACTCGGTTTTAGATAATAAAAACAGACAAACATGAACTAAAAGTTCAGCGGGCAAGAAACAAAACCAACAACATAATCGATTATGAATTTTTCTGTTGCTCACGTTCACACACACACACACACACACACACACACACACACACACGGCGTGGTTTTTCTGTGTTAGGTTGGTCTTCATCAGTTATTGCT